GATCGAACTTTTTGACCAAAAAAAAAAATATATTATCGATCGAACCCGTTGCCGTAACAATGTACAACATGCTACACCGGATTGGCTTTTCTCCGAGAGCCAATAGTCACTACTGTTAAAACCCCTTCGGGAGATGGACACGAGAGATGGATAAAGGTTCTTACTGATGTTACCGGCAATGGTCGAAGGCACCAAATCATTTTCAGTGATTTACCCTTACAACATTCATTTCGAACAACTATATTGCACCCGCACTATATCCGTTTCTTTGATAACTGACCAGTGTTTAAGAAAGCGCTAGGTGCTAGGCGGGCAGTTATACAACGCCTAGCGCCTAGAACGCTTAATCGGAGTCTAGACGATTTTTAAGTGTTTTAAGCATTTACGGCGTTTACAAAATAAATAAATTTATTATAGTTTATAGAGTGCAATATATAAAATTACATGGTTTGCTTATAAATAATAAAGTTTACATATTATAAATCTTAAATATATATTTAAAATTCAAATTACACATAAAAAACAGATTTTTTTTATAAATATCAAATATAAAACGATTAAAAGTAACTGTCACGGTATATAAACACCTAGACCCTAAGCGGGCGGTCTATGGACAATCATCGTATAAATCTTATTATAATTTGATTATTGAAATTCTTGTAACATAAACATCACATTTTTATTTTCAATAATTAAGACTAAAATATTGTATAATAAGATCCAACACACAAGTTTTAAGTTATATAAATACTTATACAAAGAAATAAATCATACAAATACTAAAATAAATCATGTAATAAGATCCAACACACAAGCTTTAAGCTATATAAATACTTATAAAAAGAAATTAATAGAACTCTACTCCATTTTTGAAAAGTTGCAACTTATGATGAATACTCTAGATAGATTATTGGTTAACACAATTTATCTGTTAAAGGAAGAGTCGAATTTTTGTTACAACACGAAATTTTTTGGCCCATAAGATGTATAAAAATATTGGGCTCAGATGATATATAATTTAATTGTAACATAATAAACCGTTTACATCAAACAGATTTAGAATCAAATCAATTATATATGTTATTGACATGCTTTTTAATAATCCAACACGCGCTATTTTTTGACAGAACATTATTAAAAATAATTAATATCGTTTGTAATCCAATTTATTAGAATAAATTATTATTTATTAATAATCGCAAAACAGCCTTGTAAATACAAAAAAAAATGTCTAACAAAACTAATAATATATATGGATTATCGATTTTGAATCCTTTTAATCGGCCCAAGCCATTAGACATCATCTGTATCAAGCACATATAATCTCTCTCTAATCCTGAAATTTCAATAACAAAATCATGTAGATCTAAATTTATGAAAATTTTTTTTTTTTTCATAAGTCAATTTAAACAACACAGAGAAACATACTTACCTATTGCGCAAGGTTAAAACTTCATCAATAGGTGAATCAGTGATTAAACGGGACACACCATCATCATCATGATCCTTGATAGACACATTCTCTAAAACATATATATTGGAATATTGTTATGTTATATACAACGATTTTATAAATAACATATTGATGTATCATCAGAGAACATACCCCCGTCAATTGCTACACACCAATCGGTTAACACACATATAGCAAAGGGACCTTCGTATTCTCTACACTTATCTCTTATTTCAGTTGCCAACTCACCGTGTGCAACACACTCTAGCATAAACTCCCTATATTTTGACAAAGAATGTAGTTAATAATTAGTTAGTTAAACTTCAAAAACATATAGTTTGAGATATACTTACTCATCATCTATTATCTTAAATCGAATTGATGATGAAGTCGTTCCATCCGGGTATGTAATAGTAAAATATCTAGCATCTTCGACGACTCCAATCAAATCTGCGATTGTAATTAGTCAAAATAAAGACATTAGTGCGAACTATTAATTTTGCATGAAAATACCAAAATATTCTTACCATTTAGATAATAATGAGCATCTGGGAATTCATAACTCGAGAGGAATGATACAAAATTATAGAACGAATTATTTGTTAATGGTAAAGCTGGTGAAATCGTTGTTCCCTTTGTCAGTGTAATACGTAATCGTGTTTTGTAATACTTTGGATATTAGTCCAGCTGTAAGGATTCAAAGGAAATCCAGTCAACATAAACCATTGATCTTCTTCGCATATTTGATTGAAATGCTCCATCATCTGATTGTTTACCCGAGCCTGTATTCTACAACCCTAGAAGTTTATATGATAACATTAGAACAACAAAAGAACAAATTAGTGTATGTTAAAACAATAAGCATAACCAATAATAAATATCACAAATACCATTATAGGTTAATGAAATTTACCCTTTCATCGACCATAATGAAATTTAGACTTCGATTATCGTCCGAGTAATCCACCACCCAATTTTTGAGTATCTTCACTATAATTCTCCAGTCAGATCTTTGAGAGTCCAATTGACGAATAAAATCATAATCCGCCATTGCATGATGACTATCGTTTAGGGTTATGCAATTTAGAGTATATTTATAAGAAAAAAATGATTTTATATTAATTTATAACCGAAAAGTAAGAATATAAACATTTCAGGATAAATATAGATAAGGAAACAGTATTATCTTCGAGTAAAATATTTAGATATATATATATATATTGAGGTTTTTCTATTTAAAATTATGTTAATATTCCAATTCTCATTGTTACCAATTCTTAAAATTGTTTACTATAACACCATCTATATATTTTAAATGACAAATTTATTGTAAAGAAAATTTACATTAGCTAAATCATAAACATCTACATATATATTTTAAAGATGGTGACTTGTTATCGTGTTCAAGAACGCGTAAATTCAACCAAGTAATTATTTCTTCAGTGAACAAACAAAAACAACTGTTTCTAGATTCTTATTTTTTCTTTCATAGATGCTACAAAATCACATTATTTATAAAACATAGTGTTTAGTAGAACATGATAAAATCAATAACCAAAAACCAAAAAAAAAACGATAACAAAGATAATAATAAAAATCTAAATTATAGCTAGTACATATCTAAAAAACAAATTGTTTAGAGTTATATCAGATTAAAAGGTATACATCGAGTTCTCGTAACACACCAATCGGTTAAAACATAGACGTCAAATGGACCATCATATCCTATGCATTGTTCCTTTATGTCAGATGCTAATGAGCCATGTGCGATACATTCCAATGTATTATCCCTCAAATTACATAATAGAGTTATTGTAAAACTAAATTATCATAACAATAAGCAATAGAAAATAAAAAGAATGCGTTTACTCATTGTCTTTAAGACGAAAACGAAGTGTTAGGACAATTTTTCTATCTGTCTGCACAACTGGTATGATATCTCTTACAATGTCAAGTACACCAATTAAATCTGAATAAACACACATATCAGTAAAACTACAGCGAATTTTTCAAAAAAAAAAACAAAAAAACAATATATGATTATACTAACCAATATGATACTCATGAGCGAAAGGATTATTGATAATCTGTGAAAATTGTACGAAACTGAGGAATGCCTTATTAGATATTGGTATTATACGTGAAACCTTTGTGTCGTCAGTCAGAGTAATCATAAAATCGTGTCTAGTTATCTTATCGCAATCATTACTGAGCAATCGGTTGAGACTAAACCGAGATAACATAATCCAGTGACCTTCATGGCAAACTCGTTCGAAATACTCGAACATCTGATTGTGAACAATTGCCTGAATTCGGCATCCCTAAAATATAAGAAAAAATATAGAAATTATAGAAACAATAAAGAAATATACAGAATCAGAGATTTAATACTAAAGAGTTTAGTTTATAATAAAACTAGTTCTCATCGGTCATAATGAAGCCAAGACCTGGTAATCCCTGTGGATCGTTCACGCTCCACTTTTTCAAAACTTTAACCACAATCTTCCAGTCATCTCTCCATCCATTCATCTCATGAACCAAATCATAACTACCCATGTTTGTCAGATGTTTAGAGAGAATAAAATATCAGAAAGTAGTTATGTTCTGTTGCATCGAGTCTTTATCAGATCATCTATATATACACATATATATTAAATATAAATACAATATGATCACAACCACTAAAAAACAAATTATTTATAACTTTATAATTTTTTTAAAATATAACAAAACACAATCTATATATGTATATCTTCTTTCTATATGATTTAAAAATTTGTTTTAATTCGAAGACAAAACATATGTGTATATTAATGTTTTCATACCGATAAATCATTGTTAAATTAAGGAATTCATGATTGTATTATTATTTTTTATTATTATTTCGATATCCGAATATAATTTGGTTATTAAGGTAGCTAAAAATGTAGATATACTGGACCCATTAATCAATCATGACTTAATATTATTGATATAGGTATACCAGATATTATTATGCAAATAAACATCTAAACATTAAATGAATCTAAATCTCTACAAAAATATTACTGATTTCGATTTTCCTGAAAAATCATCAAGACTAAACACGATTGGGTCCATATCGTAGAATATCTTTACTATCACGATCATTAAAGTTTTTTATAAGGTCTTGGAAAAGACAATTATAGTTAGAAGTCTATTGAAAATTTATGACGACAATCAGTACGTTTTCCTGTGACAAATAGTCGAAGTATATATATATTTCCTAATATGTTTACCTTAGGCAAGTATATTGATTTATAGTACGTTTACTTTAGGCAATTACTCTGACTATACCAAAAATAATGTAAATATTTTCCATAACAGAAGCCACAGAAATCTTATAAAAATGACATAGCCTGACATCGAACCTTACAATATGAGCTATATAAAACACATATAATTCATAAAATATAGTTTGATAATACATCACAAAATTAATATATAAACAATAAGAAAGTATTAAACAAAAGCACTGATCTTAGTTTTAAAAGCAGGCATAAAATTACTAAGTAATGAGTTCGAGAACACAAAGAAGAAACAGTGTAAATAGAGAGGCAGAATAGAGGAAGTCTACAAATAACATCAAACAGTCGATGCTCTCGTCCGTAGTTGGTTCCGCCTACGAAAATAATAAAAAGTCATTACCAAAACGTTTTAAGAAACATTGAAACAATAATATATATAGACCCCAAAATTTTAAATACTCACGTCGCTCTAAATGCATCAACTTTTGCATCGATAGGATTGTACAAAAAATCTGAGCATAGATCATTAGATTGGAGAACCATAGACTTCTTATCGACTCCTAAACAACAATAGACAAAAGTTTTATTTAATATTCAGATTTTAAGACATATATGAGAAAATATGTATATACCTTGGCCATTTGTCATCTTCCAGAACTTTAACACCCAGACAACCGATTCACATGTGTTTCTCAGATATACATCATGGAGACTTATTGCTAGAGAACCACGGGCGTAACATGCTAACCGACCTTCTCTTCTGCCACAAGAAAAAATAATACGAAAATTAAAATATTTGGTTAAGACTTTATATGTTAACAGTCTTTTACATATAAATCAATGGACATGATTCATAATACCGTGCATCTACTATCTCAAATCGGAGATAAGCGAGATTCTCTTCATAAGCATCATTACTTGCATTGCAGAGTGGACCCATATTCACAATAGTTCCCATAACTTCTGATAATAAACGAAATAATAAATTGAATTTAAATCTATTATAAAACTTAACATATATGTTTAGAAATTATCATGCACACCGATAAACTTGATTAATTCTTATAAAAAGTTAAAGATGAAATTCTTACCAATCAGATTGTCGAAAGGAATGGTTCGATCCACAATATCATAAAATCGGAAGCAATGGAGATACAAATTGTACGACCTCGTTCGAATAGGGGTGATAATAGTGACAGAAGTTAACTGCAAACGATGTTTATTGATCGTTGTAAGCATTGATCCAATAGCTTCTTTAACATGAAAGTTGAAAATCCGAATCCACTGTCCCTGTTTGATTTCTTTCCAGCGAGTGGGAAACTCGTTTGGCATAATGGTTGCAGCGATCCGAGTACCCTAGAAAAATAACACAGCCAAAAATAATCATTGAATAATAAACAGAAAACATAAAAGAATAACTTCAAAAAAAGACACATACTTTGATATCAGACAAAACCACCTCGATAGTATTTCCGAAGAATGTTGAATGCTTCCAGAGCCTAACCACCTTGACAAATATTAGACACCATGTTTTGTAAGTATCCAAACATGCAACATCGACAACATCAGACATTTTATAAACTTTTTTTTTTCTTTTTTTCGATCGAAAAATCTGAATAAGTTTTATAAAGAGGAAAACTAAAAGTGACGGAGTATGAGAAAGTGTGTTAGATATGAATAGGACAGACTATGCAGTCGAATAGGCAGTTATTCTTTCTTATAAATTTATTTTCGTTTGAATTATTTTTTAAAAAAAAATTTGAACAGTTACCATTTAAAGCCCCTTATTGTCAAAACCAACAACAATCCACTAATTTATGTCAAGACATTTTCATATCGATATTGACCGATTTGTTCGTTTCATATGCCAGAGAGAATATATTCCATGTTTTAAGTTTCACCAAAGATACACGCAACCTCAATAAGTAAATATACTATTTTACTAAATATAAAACTTTGCTAAATTGCAACACTTTCCATAAAATAATATGATCTCTCTCTATAGCTTATGTTATTTGGACAATTTTATGTTTCAATATTTTAGGAAATGATATATTCATACAACATCATAACAAAAATGACATTTATGTAGACTTATATGTTATAACTTTATGTATCTACTTGGGCAATTTTCCTTAAAATTATATGAAACAGGAAACCTGGAAAGTCAAACGGTTAGGTGCAAACATAAAGTCGTATAATCTTCCCCATAAAGAAATTGAAAAATGAGAAAATTGATTATTATTGCACACCTTATAAATACTGACTTGAGGGTTTCTTTTCAAAAAACTTTAAAATATTTTATAAGTAGTCTTATCGTTTCTGAGAGCATTCATAAGAACATGGCGAACACAAACGAAAAAAAATTCGATGAAAATGGCTTGTTGATCATCAATCCCCCACCATTGGTAATGAGATTCGGTGTCGTGGAACCTAAGTCACCACCTTCACCAACAGATTCCGAGATAGAGCAAGAAGAATTATGGGAACAATTACATTTACTCACCGCATCAAATCAGAAAGCCAAACAGAACACTCCTCAGGTAATACATCCTATTCACTAAAGTTTATTTTAATCATGTCTTACACAATGAATTGTAAAATCTGTATATTCTACTTATGGAGGATGACAAAGGCAACACATCTAATGAGACACTCCAATCAAGTTGCACAAAACGAAAACACGACCTGATTCTAGATCTGGAGATAGGGTTGAAGTGCATGCGTTGCGGTTTTGTGGAGACAGAAATTCGACACATGGATACCGCCGAATGAGTACGTAATCAGAAATATATTTAGATTAATAATGAAAAGTTGTCTAAAATCTATGTTATTGAGTCATTATATTTTGTTATTGATTGCCCATAGAACTCTATGTTTTAGAAACAATTCATGTTTAAATATAATATTGAGTTAGTTTAAAGCTATATAATTTTACAAAAATCTAAATTGGAATGTTTGTGTCTGTGCTTAAAGGGAGAGGAGAAGGAACGTAAAAGAGGAGGTCTGGAGTTTAATCAAGAACCATATCAGTTTCAAATCAATTTCATGTTTTTTTTTCCTGTTTGCAATGACCACTTTAAAGACAGTATGTACTTGGTTTTATTTTCTAAAAACTATTAAGTTTATTTCGATGACATGATAATTTGGTTTTATAGCATTCTCGATATTTACAACTACGTGACAATGTTCATCATATGAAATGTCAATAGATGCCCAAT